ATGTATTACAAATCAACTTGATGATTGCAATAGAGTTTAGGCTTGATCCTAAGTGATGGCCCAACCTCTCAGCATTAGAGATCGCTAACTGCTCTCATTATAAGTTGTGTGATATATTAACCAGGTTCATCCACACTTTGGCACATAAAGTGTAATATCGCAAACGCACGTACACTCTTGGTGTCACTGTGCCAGCATCGCCATGCACTCGGTACTGTTTGATTCTCACATCTCAGTAGCGTCAAGTGAGGCTAAGTAATGTTAGACTCGAACATCTGGACCTACCACATTGCGAGAACAAATGGCTGGAAAACGTGTCCCAGTTGCATCGTTTAACAAACACGTGTGAGTGTTATGTCATCGTCTGGAAAACGAAGGTGAAGAACGTTAGGAGGTACAGGTGTATAGCGTAACAATCGAGAGGGAGAGTCTCTGTGATATTGGACTGGAGCTGTGTTTTGTGTTGTTCTGCAGCCGACGATATGACTCGCAATCAACCGCTAGCAGCCAAAAATCGTTGTAACTGTCTCGGCACTTAGGTGTGCCCTAGCTGACGTTGCCAGAGCAATAATAATTGTGTATCTGCAGAGATCCGGCTGGTTTGGAGACGGGACAGTGTACATGCATCAATGAGGAGACACGAGGACATCTGTGCTGTTCGCTGAGGTCACGAGCAGCTTTCACACAGGAGTGAGCATTCGTATTTGCTACCTATCAGCCATCCTGATACCGCAGCAGATGTAAGGGAGTCATTTATCGATCCAGAGTCAGAAACGAGTGTCGGTGTTCCAACTAACAGTACCCGAGATACGCGCGACCGAGTACTAACATCGTGCTCACTGACAACCTGACATAGACGGCAGACTCATGACTACAGTGTTCACGGCCATAGTTCGGACGGCGTGGCAGAGATTAGGCCAAAACACAGAGAAGCGTGACTCTGAGTGTGTCACTAGAGCCTGCACCAGAACGACATCTGGCATTGTTGAACATTGTCAGCTTTCACGCCAGTCGCTGCCAAATTTTATCAGCTGCTTAAGTCGGCCTAGGTAATCATAATAATAATCCTGATTTTGTCTATCCCTGCTCAGATATCCAACGAGCGTGTCTCGTGGATCCACACCGGTACAACAATGACTGTCAGCCCAGGATGCTCATGCTCGACACCACTGAGCTGTTTGGACTGCACTGCAATGAGGGTGCGAGGGAGATGGGAAAGTCTGCTTTGCGTCATGTGCATGCTCAGCATATGAGCCTGTAAACTAAGACCTGGCCCTGTAATGAAGTGCTACCTTTTCTCATTTAAGAGCCGTGATTCTAAGCAGATCTGCTCGTATGTATCTGGCATATTGAGTGTGTCGTGAGGATGAGAGGGCGGAATTTCACCCCTTTCATGTGCGTTTCTGACAGACATCGACGGAGTGCGTGCTGCGGACAAGGGATGACTGCCACCCCACGCAGACGTGCCTCGAGGTATCAACCTCCTGGTACACTTTCTCTGTTCTGACTGCTGCACAGGCTATGATGACGGTCTCAAATGCATCGGTGAGAAGAGCCGCACGGTTGCGCGACAGAACAGCGAGACTCACACTATACTACTCAGTGCAGTACACACGTGTCTCATGCCCTGCATTTGAATGACACAGACATTGATGAGGTGCTCAGGGGTTGGACTCTGCAGCTCGACTGGCTGAATGTACTAACACTGTGGGGAGCGACTATGAGTGTGAATGAGTCAATGGCGATCAGGGAAACGGGAGGAGATTCTGCACCGGTATATTGCATCTTCCACAGTGCACTGTAGGATGGCACGTCTCTTCTGCCTTTAGATATGATGAGTGGCTACTATAGAGATGGACTGTTCACTGAACTCAGTCTGCGTAATACCGCGGCAGTTCCAATGTGTCTGCCAGCAGGCTATCACGACTGTCGGAGGAGAGGAGTAGGAGTATGACAGAGGTAGTGTATATGATGAAGCCACACATCGTTCAGAGCGAGTCCCTATCGCTCTCTGCAGTATTCAAGCTGAGGTTTCATGTGCAGACATGATGAATGTGCTCACAACAAGAGAACTGCAACGATATAATGCTCGACTGTCGTGAACATTCCCGCTAGCTCCAGTGTCGAGTAGCCGAGAGAGATATGAAGGGAGGACCATATGCACAGGTATAAACAACGTATGGGTCTCATACGCATGCACACTTGCTTAACATGTGTGATGGTGCGCTGCGCAGTCTAGTAACAATATAAGATTATGAAGATACAGGCACCCGTCTGTGACACATACAGACACGACCACGAGCGGCGACAGACACACGGACACACGATACAAAACTCACCGAGCGACGACTACACGTCACTACGGTGCATATGACCATCACAGTACAGATGACATGACTACAGACAAGTTCTAGGATAATGACCCGTAATTACATGACTAAGTCTACTCCTGCACACTATGCCATTTGCTTTTGCACATCGTTTGCACCCACTCTCTCAGTGTGGATGAGTGTGCTACTGGCAGAGCGTCGTTGGCCGGATACCTGGCTCGGTGAATGCTAATGGGACTGATCAAGCCATTGAGGGAGCTTCAGGTAGGTGCAGATCTAGTCGTTCAGGAGACGCAGCAGAGTGTGTAGTAGAGTGGTGAGTGCGCAGGCACTAGCTGACTCGGAGTCATTACGAGTATCTCTCTCTATTGACCAGTATTCTAATGTTCTCAGCTGTGAATCGAGTGTATTGCGCAGTTGACACTGCGATTCGACTTGTCAGTTGTATCAACCGGCAGAGTGGTGGATGCGAGTGTCGCGATGTAGCGTGTTTTTGAGGGATCGAGGAAATGGCAGACAGTGCTCGGTAATGGCATATCCACTGTATCCAAGACGGATTGATTTTTGATGATGATTTGTGCAGATATGATGCAGGTGTGAGAGGGAAGGGACACTTGTGATCCAAATGCTGACTGCAGAAACACCACAGGGCAGTTCCAGGGGTCTGTAGAGAAGGCCTACGAGGGAAAATGGAAGAATATGCGCAGGATACTGGAAAACTCACACTTGTAGCGATTCCAATGATAGCTGATGTTATTCTCTGCCAGATCATAATGAGTGCAACGTTGGATACTCGTGGAGAATCTCACCTCCATGAGGCCCTGTATCTAATTGCACCGCCGCTAATTACAACGTCTCCCGTTGAACACCAACGCTTTGCGCGTCACGCCGGGGTGAGGGGGTTCATTCCGGTTCGTGATATACCCCTTACTCTAATCAGAACAGTGAGCCCGCCTCGAGGCCGGCTGACTGATCACATTCCGAACGTACTGGGGAGTATTTTTCTCACCCATCCTAACTCCGCCACCCACTCATGGACGTATGGGAGGTACAGCCCCTCCCCCATCCCCCTGCGGATGCACCCCTCCCATTACATCCTTCGGGGAAATCGCATTCCCTCCACCAAGTCAGAGTCCCCCCTAAGCTCGGTGCTGTTTCCCTACGCAGCATCTGATCCATGCTCCTTCCCTGACCAATGAATGCAAATAGTTGACTAACTCCTTTATATTACTGCCCGAAACTCTGAATCTCGGCAGATCGTTCTTCGTGACGCCGTGAATCATGATGTCCAACCCACCGCTCTCAAGCTCAAGCATCTGGGTGGTGGTGAAGTCCGGAATCACGCGAATGTGCACCGTGGAGAAACATGGGGGGGGGGTATGGAATCTAGAACCTACCCAGTAGTCGTCGAAAAGGGTAGATCGTGCTTCCACCGGCTCGAAGTACGGAGTAAGTAGGGACCCGTGCACGGAGAGGTGCGTAACAAACCAGGCCTGGGCAAGGTCGTCACCGACCGCATTGGCCTCCACCGCTTCCGGACTGACGATGCCCGGCCCGTACGGCGCAGCCATGTAGTGGATGAATGCGCTGTCGGGCTGGTTCAGGGTGATGATCAGCGTGTAGTCGTCTGGCGTCTCGTAGCTCGCCACATCAAAGAGCATGTATGCGGGCCCGGCATTGACGCCCACCCTGCGCTCGAAGCTCGCCACGATGTCCTGCGCGGTCAACTCGGTGCCATCGTGGAACTTGACGCCCTGACGAATTATGGAACGTTGATTTACACACACCCGCGTCGCTGATGAATAACTCTCAGCCAGCAGCGGTTCGATTTCGGGCAGGCTCGTGTTCGGCTTGTAGCGGAGCAAGCCCTCGTAGGCGCTGCGGGTGACGTTGAGCAGTAGGATGATATGAAGATCGATGGATAGGGGAACATGAATGTCGAATGGGGACGACATCTACGAGATGACCGCAGTCAGGACATTGCTTCGATGTACGGGAGGTAATAGAGGGTAGTGGTACAGCGAGAGGTGGTAGAGGAAGAGAGAAGAAGCCAACGAATCCTACGCAGGTAAGAATTGGGTACGGTGTGCGTCGGAGCAGCATTGGTAGACGGCGAGTCGATGTCACGGTCGCACAGAAGCCATAGGCAAGCAACTAGTGCCAACACGATCAAACTGGAAACGATGATGGCGCGGCGGATGGAGCCGCAGGTTTGCCCACGCATGTGATTGTCCCCTTCTAGCGTTGCTGTCACCACGCACAGCGCGGCGACACTCCCGAACACCGCGGACGCTAACACCGTGAAAACGATTCCGCAAGGCCTAGTCCGCGGGCTCTGAGCGACTGACGCCCGGCGCGCTGCTGGGGAGCCTCATCGACGGCTAGCGAACCATGGGCGGCCCGCGCATGCTCACCGAACTGCGGGGCGAGCTCGCCGCCGACATGTACGCCATGTCGCCGGACAGGGTCGTCGAGCCCTCGGAGCCGCCGGCCTCCGGCGCCTGAGGCCGATCGGCCCATGACAAAGGCCCAGCCGCGGATACCTTGCACCGCATTGGACACGCCCTGTCGGCTGTGTCGCCAGCGCTGCGACGATGCTTCCGAGGTGTTCGATGTGGGCGGCAAGCCCCCGTTGCGGTCGCCGTTGGCCCCGCCGTCAGCCGCCAAGCCTCATCGGGTGGACGACAAGTAGTCGAGCACCTCCTGCTCGGAGACCACGTCGGCGTACTTGGCGTCGAGATCGAACAGGTTGGCCTCGTGGACCTGCGGGTTGCGATCGCCGCAGGCATCGCGCACGACTACGGGAACGAAGCCGTGCTGACAGGCATCCACCGCGGTGGCCCGAACGCAGCCGCTGGTGGAGACGCCGGTGTGGATCAGCGTGTCGACGCCCATCGACGTGAGCGTCGAGGCCAGAGACGTTCCGAAGAAACCCGAGGCGTACTGCTTGACCACGACGACCTCGTCGCCGGTCGGCGCCAGCCCTTCGCCGTAGGCGCCCAGCGGGTTCCCCCGCACGAAGCACTCCAACGCGCCGACCTTGCGGAAGAAGACCCCGCCGTCGGCGCCGCCCGGCTGGAACTCCACCCTGGTGTGCAGGACCGGGATGTCGGCCGCCCGGGCCGCATCCAGCACCCGCTGGCACGCTGCTCGGGCGTCCTCGACCCCGGCGTACAGCGGCGACGTCGGATCCAGGTAAGCCTGGCAGAAGTCGATCACCACCAGGGCCGGGCGCGAGCCCGAACCCAGCCGGTTGCTGAACCCGGCCCGCGGTAGTCCTCCGCCAGCCCATCGCCGGTGGACCGACCGCCGGTCGACGGTGCCTCCGGCATCAGCCGACGACCCCGCCGGCTCGGAGCTGCTCGATGGCGTCAGCGTCGAGCCCGAGGATCGCGCCGAGCACCTCGTCGTTGTGCTCGCCCAGCAGCGGGCCCGACCAGTTGATCGAGCCGGGGGTCTCGGACAGCTTCGGCACGATGTTCTGCATGGGGATGGGCCCGAAGTCGGGACTGTCCACCCAGGCTATGGCCTGGCGGGCGGCGAAATGCTCATCGGCCAGCATCTCCGGGGCGCGGTACATCTGGCCGTTGGGAATGCCGTTCTCGTCGAGGCGCCGGCGCAACTCGTCGGCGTCGAGGGTGGCGGTCCACGCCGCGATCAGCTCGTCCAACTCGTGCTGGCGGTCGCCCCGGGCGCTGTGGGTGGCATAGCGGGGGTCGTCGCCCAGTTCGGGACGGCCCATCGCCTCAGCCAGACGCCGCCAGACGGTGTCCTGGTTGCCGGAGATGAGATGGATCTTCCCGTCGCGGGTGGGATAGGCGTTGGCCGGCGCGATGTTGTGGATGATCGAGCCTGTTCGCTCGCGATGAAGCCGGCCACGTGGTATTCGGTCAGCAGCGATTCCATGACCGCCAACACCGACTCATAGAGCGCCGCGTCGACGATCTGGCCCTTGCCGGTGCGCTCGCGGGCGCGTGAAGGTGGCATGCAACCCGGGCCGATCACCGGTGGCGAACAAACATGGCGGTAGGTTAAGGGTGTCCCCGAGGCTGATTCCGGTTCGGCTGGGCATCTTCTCCGGATCGCCGGTGGTGTAGCGAATGCCTCCCATCGCCTCGCCGACGGCTCCGAAACCGGGCTGAGCGCAATAGGGTCCGGTCTGGCCGTAGCCCGAGACCCGGGTGACGATCAGCCGCGGATTGACGGAGCGCAGGCCTTCGGGAGCGAGGCCCCACTTCTCCAGCGTGCCGGGACGGAAGTTCTCCAGCAGGATGTCGGCGTCGGCCGCCAGCCTGCGCACCAGCTCCTGGCCGGCGGGCTCGCGCAGGTTGATGGTGACCGACTTCTTGCCTCGGCCGACGACCGCCACCCAGCGACCTCCGTCGGTCCTTCTCTGCGGCCCGCATCGGTCGCCGTCGTCGGCTCGCTACCACCTTGATGACCTCGGCCCCGTGGTCGGCCAGCATCTGGCCGCAGAACGGACCGGCCAGGAGCGTGCCCACTTCGATCACCCGAATATCAGTTAGAGCCCCGGGCATGCTCCTCCTCTCCAGTATTGTCGATTGAGTCATGACCGAGCCCATGCAAGAAACCGGGCGTGCTCGGCGAACTGTGAGACTTCAACCATCCAAGCGCGTCCAAGTTTGTCGATGTCGCTCCCCGAGACGGCTTGCAGGCCGACCCCGCCGACCTCAGCACCGCGCAGAAGGTGGAACTCATAGAGAGGTTGGTCGCCGCCGGCCATACCCGCATCGAGGCCGCCAGCTTCGTCAGTCCCAGAGCGGTGCCCAAGATGGCCGACGGCGAAGCGGTCATGGCCGGCCTCCCCCGCAAGGAGGGGGTGAGCTACAGCGCCCTCGTTCTCAACGAGCGGGGCCTCGAGCGGGCCGTCGAGGCCGGAGTCGACGAGGTCTGCGGAGTTGTGGTGGCCACCGAGACCTTCTCGCAGGCCAACCAGCGGGCCACCGTGGACGAGTCGGTGCAGAGGTGGCGAAGCATCTGCGAAGCCGCCCGGACGGCCGGGATCAAGACCGCGGTCACCGTGTCGGCGGCGTGCGGCTGCCCATACGAGGGCCGGGTGGACGCTGATCGGGTTCTTGGAATCGTGACCGAGCTGGCCGAGACCCAGCCCGACGAGCTGGCGTTGGCCGACACCATCGGGGTCGGGGTTCCCACCCAGGTGGCCGCCCTGTTCGAGGGTGCGGCGCAGCGGGCCCCCGGCATCGTGTTGCGGGGGCACTTCCACAACACCCGCAACACGGCGCTGGCCAACATCTTTGCGGCCATCGAAGTCGGCGTTCGAGTGTTCGACGCCAGCCTGGGTGGGGTGGGAGGCTGTCCGTTCGCGCCCGAGGCGACCGGAAACGTGGCCACCGAGGATGTGGTGTACATGGTGCACCAGATGGGCTACGAGACCGGGCTCGATCTCGACGCGCTCATCGAGGCCAGCACCTGGCTGGAAGACCAGCTCGGCCATCGCGTGCCCAGCCTTGTGGCCAAGGCCGGAGGATTCTCCCGACCTGCCTGATCCGCGGCTGAGCACCCCGACCGTGCTCATGTGGGCCTGCTCTGGTACTGCCCCCGGGGGTGAACTCGGCGGCGGCGGTGTGGTGGAATCCGCTGGCGGGTGATCACACTGGGATCAGTTCGAAGGCGACTCCGAACTGCGCGCGCCCAGCATTCGCCGACCTGTTGCAGCTGTCGCGCAGGAACGCTTCGGGGCTGAAGTCCGGGTCGCCGAGGCTCTCGATGTAGGCGCGGTGACAGCACAACGAGTCCACACCCTGCGCGAGGTGGTCGCGTCACGTCCACCCGTGGGTGGGTGCCGGCGAGGATGCGTAGGCGATCCAGCGCACGCCGCGCCAGGGCTCGCCGGCGTCGGTGAACAGCCAGCGGTTGGCCGCGTCGCGCACGGCATCGGGCAGGGCCACGGCCGAGCTCTCGGTGATCGACGTGGTTCCAGGGCCCCGAGTCCCCCCACCGGTCGCGGTAGTTCGACCCGATGATCACTTCGGGCCGGTGGCGGCGGATGGCCGCGGCCAGGTCCCGTACGCAGCTCGATCCCGTTGACGACGAGTCCATCAGCGTGATCGAGGAACTCGACCACTGAGACACCCACGGCGGCCGCGGCAGCTACCTGCTCTGCGGTGCGCAGCGGTCCGGCCTGGTCGGGAGCCATGGAGTCGATGCCGGCCTCGCCCCGGGTGGCCAGCACGTAGCGGACGTCTTTGCCCATGTTGGTCCAGCGGGCTATGGCCGCTGACGCGCCGTATTCGAGGTCGTCGGGATGGGCCACCACCGCCAGGGCCCGGCCCCAATCCTCCGGCAGCCTGGCCAGAACGGGATCCGCCTCAGGGTTCTGCCGTCTGGCTGAATCGGTGCCGCTCACCGGACTCAAGCTAACGGCTCGGGCTCCTCGCTCGGGGCACAACCCGGGGCTATGTCGTGGTCGGTGCCATGACGTCATGCGTGTGCTGCCGACGGCGGGGGGGAGCCCGGGTGTTCAGCCTGCTGAGTCGATGGTCAGTGGAAGACCTCGATTCGGTCGACGAGGCCCCAGTCGAGCGCTGTGGTCGCATTGATCTGACGTCCGGTGAGGGCCAGCGCCGCCGTGCGCTGACGTCCGATCCGGCGGCTGAGGCTGACCGTGCCGCCGGCCCCTGGTATCAGGCCCAGGGAGATCTCCGGCAGGCGGATGGCGGTGTCGGGATGGGCGATGACCGTGTCGGCGAAGGCCGCCATCTCTATGCCACCTCCGAACGCCGAGCCGTGGATGATCGCGGTCATGCGGGCCGCGAGCCGGTGGATCAGGCGAGCCGGACTTCGCGCCAGGCGCGTGATGTGGGCCGTGGCCGGGTCGGGCCGGCTGCCGAACTCACCAAGATCACCACCGCTGCAAAAGGAGGGCCCCTTGCCGCGAAGCACGACCGAGGTGATGGAGTCGTCGATCTCCGCGAGCGTGAGTGCCGCGTGGAGCTCGTCTCTCAACTGGGTGGAGATGGCGTTGTGGCGATGAGGTCGATCGAGAGCGATCACGAGCTCGTCGTGGTTGCGCTCGACGGCGACCACCGGGCCGGTGGCGATGTCGGGCTTGTTGGGTGCGGCCGCTCGCCATGCCGCGAACTCAGGGCCGGCTTGGAGTACCGAGTAGACAGCTGACTCCATGGCCAGCCCGCTCTCGACCGATTTGTCGACGGATGACCGCAACAGCACGGCGAGGGCGGTGGCGGCCAGCGGAGCATGCTCGATCGTGGTGAGCACTTGGTCGAGATCGTCCTCCCCGATGATCAGGTCGGCATTGGCGGGACCGGGGGCACCGAAGCTGTCGCCGATACCGCACACGACGACGGGGAGGGAACCGGGCGCTGCAATCTCGTCCTCGCCTCGCACAACGACGCCGACGGTGCGGTCCCCGCCGGCCACGTGCTCGTCGATGGCGGGGGAGTGGATCCAGGAGTCGTAGTCGGAGGAGTCGAGATAGATGTGGCCGATGGTCGCAGCGTAGGCCGAGGCAACATCTTGGGACCCGATCGTCATCGGGGCCTACCCATGTGCATGCATGAGTGCCAACATGATTGCATGCAAAGTACCAGTGTTACCTGCTCGGTCAGTCCGACGCTTCCCATCTCGACCGCTTCGACCACGATCCGGATGCTCGCGCACGGCTGGAGCGCCGGTTGCGGGAGCCGACTGTCTGGGACGTCTTCCGACGAAGCCGAGCCGGAAACCCGGTGACCGAGATGCGCCAGGATCTGGGGCTGTGAAGAGGTGCTCCCGAGACTCGCATCGGCCAAGGCGTGAGCGGAGCCGAGGACCGATTCCCGCCGTGCTGGATCGGGCGCGGTCGCTTTAGCGTCGGCACGGCGTAGACTCACATTTCATGCTGGTCATCAGGGCCGGTTGGTTAGAGAGAGAATCAATGCGAGGAACTGTCAAGTTTTTTAACAGCGAGAAGGGCTTCGGCTTCATCTCACGCGACGGCGGTGACGACGTGTTCGTTCACTATTCCAACATCGTCGGCGAGCACCACCGAAGCCTTGAGGAAGGGCAGATAGTCGAATTCGACATCGGGCCCGGCCGCAAGGGAGACGAAGCTCAGAACGTCAAACCGGCCTGACAGGCAGGTTCGCTGTGCGCCGCCGGCCAGATTGACCGGCGGCGCTCGACGTTTCGCGCATGGCTGCGCCGAGCGCGGGGCGAACCTAGAACCAGAACGGCTCCACGAAGCACTGGGAGATGAAGCCTCCTCGGCGACCCGTTGTGGATCAGCCGGGGATTCCAAGGTTCGGTCTCAATGCCGAGGCCATCGGCGATCCGATTCGCGTACGCGTAGTAGCCGACAACCTCGACGATGTCGAGGATGTCACGATCAGAGAAACCGGCTGATCGCAGGGCGTCGACGTCGGTGTCGTTCATCGCGCCCGGCGCCGTCGTCAGCTTGGTCGCGAATCTCAGCATCGCCACCCGGGTCGGCGACAGCGCTGCAGTTGTCCAGTCTTGTTCGATCGCCGCGGCCAGTTCGTCGTCGTTGATCAGCCGGCGCAGACCGCGCCGGTGGTGGACAACTCAATAGTGGCAGTCATTCTCGAGGCTCACGACCAGGCGATGAGCTCGCGCTCGACCTTGCGCAGCGTCGCGGTGCCGGCCATGGCCGATTCGTACAGACCCTGGTGTGCGCATGGAGCGAGCGTTGGGTTCAGCGAGGTGCACGGCAGGAGGTGTCAACCGGCCGTATGCGCGATCGACAACTTGGGGATGCATCTCACCGAGCGCGCCGTCCCAGGAGTCGTCGGGGATGACCTTGATGCGTGCCATGGTGCAGCGTTTCACACCAGTCGGGGACTCGGCGAATCTGCGATTCGGGGAACGCAGCACATCACATTGCCATCGGCGCCGAGCGCGCACGCGTGGAATCTCTCCCAACTTCGAGGATCCCCCACCGAGACGCGGGTGAACGACCCAGCGGGCGCGCCCCGGTTCTCGCCCGGCGGCGAAGAACGCACACAGCACACACCACAGCTGAGTCGCCACGCACGGCGCACGCATACCCGTGGCCAGCCGAGAGGCCGCTGAAGCGGCCCTCCGGCACATCCAGCAGCATGTTGCGCCAATCGCCCCAGCACATCAGATCGCCGCCGGCATCCAGAGCGCATGCGGGCATGCCCGCGAGCACGCCGATGAAGCCGCTGGGCGGCCGCCTCTGGGCGCTGCCGTTCAGTTCCCCAGCTTGCGTCCTTGGGTGAGTTGAGGGCAGCAGACGCAGCAGGAGTTCGCGATTTGGCCGCTACGCCGGATGCGTTGCTGATCGCTCGTGTGCAGTAGTTCCCGATTCGTCTCCTTCTGCCGCCGCGGCCGTAGCACTGGCGCGTAGAGACGGCGTGTGGCCGCAATTTGAGCACGACCGACTCGCGCCAAGGAGTTCTGCCATTTGCTCGTAAGCCAGGAGCGCATCGTTCTTGAGGAACCTCGCTGACATGTTCGCGGTCAGCAGGCCAAACAACGAGACCCCGCAGACCATGAGGACCACCGCGGCCGCACGCGCCGCGGTTGTGCCGGGACTGAGATCTCCGTAGCCGACGGTCGTGACCGTTGCGACTGCCCACCACAGCGTGTCCTCCAGGGAGTCGATGCTGCCGCCGGCAGCGTGCTCTGCCTCATACACCGCTAGCACCGCCACCGCGGATAGTGCTGCGCTCGACACTATGAGTGCCTTGCCGTGCAGACTCTTCCAGCCCCGCGTCATGGTTGCGGCTGCCTTGTGGGCGGCGATGAATGCACGCACACCGCGCAGCAACTGAAGGGCTCGCAGCGCTCTGAGGGGACGCGCGACCGGCAACACCGACAGCACGACGATGGCTACGTCGTACCAGTGGCGGACCAAGTAGCTGCGCCTTGATCCGTCCACCAGAACAACACGGGTGATGAGGTCAGCAAAGAACACCGCCACCACGACCCAGCCCGCCGCGGCGGCCAGCCAATGCCGATGCTCCAACAAGAACAGCGGCACGCTGGCTATCGCCAGCACCAGCATCATTGGCTCTGCCCGCCTCGAGTAGCTTCCCAGACGCCCCGGGTCCGAGCCCCGCCCCGGCGGCGACGATTCACTTGCCATGCCACTTCCTCCTTCCTGCTGTATCTCCAGACGCTGAAGCAACAGCGCGGCACAGTACTGCGAGGCACAACCCTGCATCGTGCCTGAGCTTGCATCGTCTGGCGCGCGAGCGATTCCAGAGGCTTCTCAGGATGAGGTTGCCTCGGCCAGACGACACCAGCAACGAGGACCGGTGATGGTTCAGCACCCCAACGACACAGCACTGGTCCGGCTGGCTCCGGGCGTCACGGAGGCGTGCGGCATTTGTGACACGCAGTGCATTGCTTCGGCACGCGACAGCGCACGGGTCTCCGACGGGTTAAGGATGAGGCTTACACTACTAGGGGGATCGGGACGATGTCATCCTCTGTTGCTCGGTGGCGTGTCGTCATACTGGTTGCTGCTGTCGCTGCTGTGGCTAAAACAAAGGGTGGCAGGCCAGTAGCAAACGGCAGCAGTCCGGCCGGGTTTCGACGACTTTTTTTATGTGCCGGAGGACGCCTACTACACGACGCCGGTCGCGGACCTTGCCGCTGAGGGAGTGTTCACCGGAACCGGCTGTGTAGCCGGGTTCTGTCCCGGGCGGGAAAGCCGATCTAGACCGCAAGGGGGTGGGAAAACGGGTAAAAAAAAGGGGGGTGGAAAGACGCTGGAGGGTTGACCGTCCGCGCATCCTCGACGGTGAGGATCCGCCTGCCGTAGCCGAGTCAAGGTTCAGCGATGTGGACGCCGGCAGCTTTCATGCGCCGTTCATCGAGCGTATGGCGGACCTGGGAGTCACCACTGGATGCGGCGATGGTACGGGGTTTTGCCCTGACCGTACGGTAACCCGCGCCCAGATGGCGGTGTTCCTGTCACGTGCATACAGCCTGCCCGAAGGGCCGGACCCAGGCTTTTCCGATGTCGCATCCGATGCATGGTATGTGTCTGAAGTGGCGAAACTGGCCGCTTCGGGAATAACGGTCGGATGCGGCGACGGATCAATGTTCTGTCCCGGACGTGACACCTCAAGAGCGCAGATGGCCACCTTCTTGTGGCGGGCCGAGAACCCCGGATGGCGAGACGAGAGCGAACCGACAAACACACCGGTGTCGTTGAATGCGGCCATGGACGGGGGCGGAGTGATCGCTGGTGACTGCGCTCTCAGGAGCGATGGAGTGATGGTTTGCTGGGGCAGCGGCGAAGCTACCGCACGAGATGGCACTTTCAAGGCTGTCAACGCTGATGTCAACTATTATAGGTGCGCTATTCGAACCGATGATAGTGTCGAGTGCTGGTACGATGGCGGGGCGCTTGGCGCTCCACCGGGCGCCTTCACAGCAGTGACCACAGCAGAGGCACAGTTCCCCGCGGCTGAGGACCAGTTCCCGGCACTCTATTCGTGCGGTATCAGGACCGACGAAACTATCACATGCTGGCAGAGTCTGGAGGGTGGCGGATACTCCGACGCTCCTCAGTGCCAAGAGTTAGAGTCATTCGGGTTCGTGTTTACTATCTGTTCGCCAAACATTCTTCAGCCTACAGCAGGCATGTTCAAAGCGATTAGTCGCGCTTGCGCGATCGGAATGGACGACACGATTAGCTGTTGGTCACCGTACCACGACTTCGACGAAATCGAGATTCATGGAACACCTCCTGATGGAGGCACGTACAAGGCTCTCAGCCTTGGGCAGTCTCATTCGTGCGCAATACGAACTGATGACACTCTCACATGCTGGGGCAACAACGAGTACGGAAAGCTAGATCATCCAGTGGACGAGTACAAAGCTGTCAGTTCGGGGTATCATCATTCGTGCGGGATACGGACTGATGACACTCTCACATGCTGGGGCCGCAATGAGGTTGGCGCGTCGAATGCACCGGCGGGAGAGTTCATCGCTGTTTCTGCGGGAAATGGCACATCCTGTGCGATCAAGAAAGCAGATAACACGATCGTGGTGCGTGAGTGGCCTACGAACCGTACAATACGAACGCACTCCAGCCACCCGAGGGGTCGTTCGGTCCAGGCTGATGATCGTTGACGCAGAAGCTGCAGTCGCTGTTGGAGTGCGGTGCAACACTCACACACCGCGGACGGGCGTGCTGGGAAGTGTAAACTCTCATAGAGTGCGGAGCGCGTAAGCCTCGACACGCAGCGCGAGGCCGGGAGAGCGGCGGGTTCGAGGCGACTGGGAGCCACCGTAGACATGAGCGCGTCTGGTAGAAGCGATCGGCCGCTGGCGAACACCTACTGGGTTGATCAGGGCCGTTTCGCGGCGGGGGAGTATCCGGGAGCGCGGAGTCGCAAGGAGGCCGCTGGCAGGTTGCGAACCATGCTGCGAGCTGGCATCGGATCTGGCTCATCGACCAGACGAGCCCGACGAGGGGTTGGCACCCTATGCCCGGATTGCGGCGCAGGAAGCCAGCCGACTCGACACGGAGTTCGTGCATGAGCGGCATTCCATCGTCGATATGAGCGTGCCTCGCAGTCGACACCAGACAGTCGACATCCTCGACGCCATCGACGAGGCATTGGGTGGCGGCAGGAACGTGTACGTGCATTGTTGGGGCGGCATCGGCAGGACCGGCACCGTGGTCGGCTGCTGGCTCGTGCGCCATGGCATGACGGGAGACGAGGCTCTGGCGCAGATCGCGGAACGGTGGCAGGGGATGGAAAAGAGGTACCGCATCCACCCCCGCTCGCCACAAACCGCACAGCAGCGGGCGTACGTCCGCGACTGGACCGAACCGTCTCGGGGAGGCGCCGCGTGAGCGAGGCCGCTGGCGGGACCGGTTCCGGGGCTGCTTGCTGGGACTGGCCGCGGGCGATGCGCTGGGCACCACGCTGGAGTTCAAGCGGCCGGGTCGTTCGAGCCGATCGACGACATGGTCGGCGGCGGCCCGTTCTGCCTGCAGCCGGCCAGTGGACCGACGACACGTCGATGGCCTGTGCCTGGCCGACGAGCCTGGTCAAGCGTGGCGGTTCGACGCCGCAGACCAGATGCAGCGTTACGTGCGCTGGTGGCGCGAGGGCTATCTGTCCTCCACGAAGTCCAGCTTCGACATCGGGAACACCGTGAGCGCCGCGTTGTCGCGGTTCGTCGAGGACGGCGACCCGTACGCTGGCTCCACTGCCCCGAACAGCGCCGGGAAACGGTTCGCTGATGCGGCTCGCGCCGGTGCCCATGTACTTCTCGGGCGATGCCGCTGAGGCCATCGCCATGGCCGCGGACAGTTCCAGGACCACGACGCACCAGGCGCAGGAAGCGGTCGACGCCTGCCGCTACTTCGCGGGGCTG